TCTCAGAATCTAACAGAACCGCAGACTGACCGACTATGTGTTGGAACCCACCGGGCACGCCCGCACCGGCTCAAGCTCCAACACAGGCCGCAATCAGAAGATTTTTAGCAGAAGACTTAGAAGAAGAACAAAAACAACTACATGGGTGGAACTGTGCATCAGCCTTTTAAGGGCTGAGAAGATTCACGCCTCTCAGGATGGGCTTGTCCAATGAGAATGGCTGAAATTCCAAGCGGGAGGTTGGAAATACTGGGGAGTTGTATGACCCTTTGTGTGAGAGCATGGCAATTTGCATATGGAACTCGAATCAAATGATTAAATATTCTTAGAACACTAATATATTGCCTATGTACCCACATATGATATAAATGCTAATTTAGATCATCAGAAGACAAATTCAAAGAGACCAAACATGGTATCGGTGGGGTTATATTAACTAGTGATCTATCATAACACACACACACAAAACAGTATACAATTCAAAAGACAATTATACAAGAACTGTAATGGTATACACAATGTCCTGAGGAGATGTGTGTTCATTCACAGAAAGGTTTTCCTATGAATTTATTAGAGAAGAGTGCATTTTGCTGTGCATTATGTGTCTTTCCTATGGAAAATGTAGTGAGAGGGAGAACTCTCAACATGCCATTAGGTTGTAAAGTTTATCTGGTCTAGCAAAGGTGTCATGGTTGCCATGGTAACCAGGGTCCTGGGCCTTGTTCACAGACATCTTGGCACCCAATATGTTTATTATGTTTATTGGGTGAGGGGTCTGTGAATTTTTTTAAATCTAATTAATAATTGATTTGTTAAATCAAATGAAAAATGGTGTGTCTGATTGGTCCAGACACTACAACAGTGTTTATCCATCTGTAACTGCTGGATAAATGCATCCATGTCCCCTTTTAGATACATTAAACTGTGTAAATACATCTAAATGCTATTTCAGATGCAGATTCCAGAAATGTTTTCTTATGTTGGAATGAAAGACACTTAAGTACCGGATGAGTGCTTCTTATTCTTACCCAAAAATACAAAATGGAAGAAAGAGTTAAAACTGAACACAATCTTGCTACTCAAGCTGTGTATGAACATTTTATATTTTCATCTATAACATCTTTTCCATTTTGCATTTTGCATTTACTTGTACTTTTACTTTCAATACTTAAGTACGTTTAATATTAAAAAAATACTTTTCGTACTTAAGTACAATAAATATTACATACTTTAAGACTTTATAAAGATATCTGTACTTTTACTTGAGTATGGCTTTCAGGTACTTTATACACCACTGCATACACTTTGAGCATGGAAGGTGTGTGCCCCTTTTCCTTGTAGAAAGGTTAGCACGTGGGACACATCACAAAAGGACAGGTCCTCGTTCCGTGCTGCACACCAGTCAGGGAAGACTGACCATTTAAGGGCATCAAGATGCCTTGTGGATGGAGCTCTAGCCTCCAAAATGGTATTAGTTACACTCATGGGGAGCTGAAAAAACTCCCGTCGAGGGGCCAATCATGAAGGATCCACAGCTCTGGTCTGCGATGCCAAATCATGCCTTTGCTTGCGAGAGAAGGTCGCCAATACCTCAGTGGTATTGGCCAAAGGTCTGCTGATAGCAGCTGAATCAACTCGGGGAACCACATCTGATTCCTCCAGAGTGGGGCCACCAGGAGGACTGAGCATCTGACTTCCCTGACCCATCTGATGACCTAAGGGGGGAAGATGTACATCTCGCTGTCTCGAAAAGTAGATTGGGCAGAGAAAGTTGCCCAATCCACCTCTGCCCTCCCGAAGACAGACCAAATAATTTGAACCATTTGGGGATGTAGTCTCCATTCTCCTGGAGCTACCTTGTCCCTGGACAGTATGTCTGCCCCCTGGTTCAGTCTGCCCAACCAACCTGTGAAGGGAACGTGACCTGCAGACCGCCTTGGTGATTGATAAAGGCTGCCACCGTCATGTTGTCCGAATGGACCAGGACATGGTGCCCCTTTAAGGCTGGCAGGAAGGTTTTTATGGCCAGAAAAACTGCCATCATCTCGAGGCAGTTGATGTGAGAGGCGAGAGGTTTTCCAAGGGGCCATGGCTCTGATGCAGCAGTGGGTTACCCTGAGATGAAAACGTCCCAGGTGCCAAGCGTAGGATGGAACATGGGCTTTGGCCAGTACTGAAGGGGCCGCATGTTGAGCAGGCCCAGAGGAATCACAGAGGAAGTGGCTGACATGAGCATCCTCTGGAAAGCCCTGAGGGAATGTGAAGTCACTAATTTGAATGACGCCACTAGTCGCTGAATAGTCAGGGAGCGTTCCGGAGTAATCCATGCACGCATTCGGGGCAGAATCGATAACTGTCCCCAGAAAGACCACTCGCTGGCTGGGAGACAAAGCGCTCTTGGCTAAATTGATTCTCAACCCAAGGCGCTCCAGGAGGCTGAGTTCAAAATGCTAATTTCCGTCTGTCTCAGAGGGGAAATAGCTGTGTCTATGCACTTCATAAAAGGACACGGGACCAGGGACAGTCCGAATGGCAGGACTGTGTACTGATAGGCCGCTCCCTCGAATGTTCAAGTCAAATTCAGCCAAAGGTGGCGCTACAGCACCACCTTGGCAATTGCCTGCGCAGTGGGCTTAGTAGCGCACAGAGCCAGGTCAGTCGCTGTGCGCAGCTCTCTAAATGCATTAGAACTCTGGCTGGACTCGTCCATGGTGCGGAGAAGTTTGGCCTGGAAAACTTGAAGCACTGCCATCGTGTGAAGCGCTGAGCCAACCTTGCCAGCCACTGAATAAGCCCTGTTTGCTAGGGCAGAGGTAGTCCTGCAGGGCTTAGATGGAGGCGTTGCATGGGCTTTCAACCCCATGGCCAATTGGGGGCACAGATGCGCAGCGACCACCTCTTCCAGAGGAGGGAGCTTGCTATAACGTCTTTCTTCAGTGCAGTCAACTAGGGGTGGAACGGTTGAGCTTACTCACGGTTCGGTTTGTATCACGGTTTTAGAGTCACGGTTTCGGTATGGTTCAGTATGTGCTATGTTTAGGCAAAAACTATACTGTCAAATAAAAATAAAGAAAATAAGAATAATCTATTTAACTACAAGCAACAGCACAAATAAATACAATAGAGTAAAGATACGCTTAATATCTGCGCGCGTTCTGCGTGGGTTTGCGCGCTTTTTTTAATCGCAGTTTTTGTAATGTATTGGTAAGCCAGAATGCGCGTCCATCAACATAAACATATATTAGCTGAACCTTGTTTGTTTTACGTGTTATTTATAGCAAACCATATTAAAGATGCGTTGTCAGATTTAAGTTGAACCGCGGTCCTAGAGCGTGCCAAACCATGTGTGGAGAACCGTACAGTTCGATTTTTTCCCACGAACCGTTCCACCCCTACTGTCAACAGTGGTGAGTGGTGGAAGTAGAGGGATTAACACGAGCCGAGTAGGGGGAGTGCCACGTCCTGATGAGTTCCTCGTGAACTGCCGGCAAGAATGGAGCAGGCCGTTGACCAGAGGAATGTTGACTGCATCCCTTTAGGTACCACTCGTCAAGGAGGCCGTGGGCGGGCTCTTCCGGCGGTTTCCTCCTCAGATGTGCCGAAGGCTTGCAGCCGACGAGGGGCGCTGGCTTGAGTTCACTTGAGCCCAGTGTTAAAACCCCACTGCTCCGCTGTTTTTTCTTAAAGAAAGACGATTTAAAAAAAAAGGCGATCCGCGAGTGGTGAAGGGCAAGACTCATGCTCTTGCAGTGAGAGCATGCGGTCTCAGTGATCACAGCCTCTGCGTGAGCGTTGCCAGGATAGGTGATGCACTCACTGTACCCGTCTGCATCCCTGCAAGAGCCACACTCGCGGCGCGACATTTGCAACAACGTCTCTGGAAATTTGCTCAGAAATTGCTCTTGTGGAGTGTTTTACCTTGGGAGGTACGGTAGTAACACAGCAAAGATGCATCAATGAACTCTGATGTTATTACTTGCGCGCAACATTTCCTGCCAAGACCTATGCTAAAATGACTATGAAAAACTGTGATGTCAAGGACCGGTGGTTAATTTCAATAGTTTGTGTTGTACACCCATACGAGGCCACTGCGCTCACTATGCAATGGATAGGCATCGGTAGGGCCTCTGACACACCTGTCCCGCAACTATAACAAAAGTGGTCAGCACTTCCACACACCTGTTTAAACACAGAAGCACAGTCCGATACTGACTACAGCCCCTCGTAGTGACAGATGTGTGTCTTGCACTGGTTTTGTCAACTCTGTTGTCTTACAGCTTTACTGCCAATGTTCTGTGTTGTATTTTTGATATACAGCTATTGAAAAATGGCAAGAGTGCAAGAGCAGAAATGTATATTATACAGATATCCAAACACAAACTACTAATGTTGATTATTTTATAAGGAAGTGTAGAATAGTTTTTATTAGCATTTTGGTCAGCGTAATGTACCCTCGATCATTTTACTCCAACCTGATGTTGACCAGCTCTAGAAACAAGCATCCAGGCCAAAAACATTCTGAGCTAAATCTCAAGAATGACCCTGAACCAGCAAAGAAGACTATTCTGTTTATAGTTAGCCTAACATTAACTGCTTCAAGTAAACATATTTTGAAAACTTTAATAGGTCATTAACCATTAAAAAAATTTAAAAAAATTGAAACCATCCTTCAAGTCCAATTCAAGTTTTTCTCAAACAAAAGCATTATTGTTAAACACAAACTACTAATGTTGATTATTTTATAAGGAAGTGTAGAATAGTTTTTATTAGCATTTTGGTCAGCGTAATGTACCCTCGATCATTTTACTCCAACCTGATTGTTGACTAGCTCTAGAAACCAGCATCCAGGCCAAAAACATTCTGAGCTAAATCTCAAGAATGACCCTGAACCAGCAAAGAAGACTATTCTGTTTATAGTTAGCCTAACATTAACTGCTTCAAGGAAACATATTTTGAAAACTTTAATAGGTAGCGTACTGTCATTAACCATTAAAAAAATTGAAACCATCCTTCAAGTCCAATTCAAGTTTTTCTCAAACAAAAGCATTATTGTTCAAAAACCTTTGCCAGTCACTTCAAACTAATGATGCCACTGCAAAATAATGCGGCTGGGAGTGAATACTGTCACACATGTGTAGCAAATTCATGAATGGAGAAAAGATAGTAATGCAAAAATTTAAATGAGACTTTTGAAATGTCTCATAATTAAGAACATAATTTGAGTGGTTTTAAACTAATCTAACTGCATGTATGGTGATTGTATAACAATGAATTCTGAATAGAAGTTATTAAATTATACTAAAAGAGAACAATATGTAATTCTGCCTCTGAAGATATTTTAATTATTTCTAGGGTATTGCAAATATAAAAACATGCCATGAGAAAACGTGTACTTGGAATTGATATTTATCAATATTATCAATATTTACTTTGCTGCATTGAAATATAAACACTGTTAAAAACTGTTAAAATATTGGGATCTTTTTTTTTTTGTGTCCCGTCTTTTCTTTTCAAAATGATCTGCTGAAAAAACTGTGCCATACAAATGATCAAATAATGTATAGTCTCACGCATTCCTAAGAGTAAATAAAGCATTGATGTGTTTTGAACACTATCTGACATCAACATTGGGCAAATACATTCATTATGGAAGGGATACAAGACGTTCATGGACATTTACGGTGTAATGCAAGAGCATTTGTAATTCATTTTGTACAAACATTATTTAATGTTATGCATGAATTCAAGTCTGTTGTACTTCGTTTTCAATGTGAACTGGACCAGCAGTCAACATTTTCTCGCTGCTATTAAAAGAGGCTATACAGGTGAGATGCGTATGTTCCTCTGTGTATATCTGTAAATACTTCTGCCACACTTTACAATGTCCGTGTTACACAAGCACATATAGCTAATGGAACAGTTATAATACTAACGAAGTGTATAACAATTTTGCAACACAAAATATTTTACGTTTGTGTTTATTTAAATTGGTCAGTAACCATTTAACATAAACGCTGTAATGTAAAGTGTTAAGTTCTTTTCATATGTTTACTGATGAGCCCTCTGAGAAAGACGGAAAAATAAATGTTTATGAAAGCATCCTTTGTCTCTTGTTCATTTAGGTGCGTTCATTTACGCACTCCACGTGTGTGTACTTGTACACTGTTCGACGGCCGCCAAGGGCATTAAGGAACGAATGCGCGGAGCGCTCACAAAATTGTTAGTAATCATCACTTTGGTGTAAATTACAGTTTGTAAAACGACACTTGGCCGTCTGTGTTTACCGTAGTAATACTCATCTACACGCCCCCTTCTGACTGTACTCCTACATAAAGCAGTGCGCGGTGCGCTCGGCGGTGAGCAGCATGAGTCTCCACGGGAAAGTCGCTCTGGTCACCGGCGGTGCGCAAGGCATCGGAAGAGC